GGCTCAACCATCTCTGACACCCTGTCTCTGGATGTTGAGCTGGACAAACGCATTGGCAAAGCAGCTACCATGTTCTCTAGACTCACAAAGAGAGTATGGCTCAATAAGAAGCTGACGACACATACGAAGATCCAGGTCTATAGAGCCTGTGTCCTAAGCACACTCCTGTACTGTAGTGAGTCCTGGACCATTTGTGCACGGCAGGAGAGGAAGCTAAACACCTTCCATATGCGTTGTCTCCGACGGATTTTTGGTATCACCTGGCAGGACAAAGTTCCAAACAGAGTAGTCCTAGAACGAGCTGGAATTTTCAGCATGAACACATTACTGAAACAGCAACGTCTATGTTGGCTTGGGCACGTCGTGAGAATGGCTGATGGTCGGATTCCAAAGGATCTCCTGTATGGAGAATTAGTGCAGGGAAACCGCCCCAGAGGGAGACCACAGCTGCGATACAAGGATATCTGCAAGCGAGATCTGAAGGCCTTAGGAATGGACCTCAACAGATGGGAAACCCTGACATCTGAGCGTTCAGCCTGGAGGCAGGCATTGCATCACGGCCTCTCCCAATTTGAAGAGACCCTTGCCCAGCAGGCTGAGGCAAAGAGGAAGTCACAAAAGCAGCAAAACCAGGGAGCTGGACAGGGGACAAATTGGATTTGTCATCAGTGTGGAAGAGACTGTCACTCTCGAATCGGCCTCCTCAGCCACACTAGATGCTGCTCCAAGTCCTCCATACAGAGCACGATACCATAGTCTTTCGAGACTGAAGGATGCCTAACTAGATGTAAGGGAATGACACTTTGCACAAAATGCATAAAGCAACAAAAAAAGTGCTTTTTGCTTTACTTGCATGCTGGAGGTGAGAATTGCTGCAGAGGCTGGAGAATTTTTAAGAGTGTGTCAATACGGCTTGTTTTGACTAACTGGTGAAATTTCTGCACATCCCTGTTCGCTGTTAATGATAGGGCCAGGATCCTTTAGGGGCCAGGATCCTTTACTAACCTTTTGTATATGTCATGTGGCACAATCCATATTAAGTTTTTTTAAAGTTTCAAATACTGTTTTGCTATTAATCTTGAAAGTATATCATTTTCACCTTGAAAAGTTTATCATTTTCACCATGAAATAATTTGGTGAAAGTATTATTACTTCAACATCTGTGTGAATGGAAAAGGATATTCAGGCTTTTGATGTGGATTTTTGTTACAGATTGGAATCATAGGAAGAACAGGAGCTGGGAAATCGACTCTCACAAATAGCTTGTTTAGAATATTAGAAAAAGCTGGAGGCAAAATTATCATAGATGGTATTGACATATCAACAATCGGTTTGCATGATCTGCGTGGCAAGCTTAACATTATACCGCAGGTTAGACTCTTTTGTCCATATACATTGGTAATATACAGATTATAAACGGATAAATTTTGTTTAAGTCTTAATTGAGTAGGCTTTTGAGTTGCAATGCCATCCTGTCCCCCCTGTGACAACATCCATTAGTGTGGATTTTGCTGTGATTTTAATGAGCTTCTGGAAGAAACGGGGCATTCTTGGCTTTTTGCAAGAACATGATTTGAGAAATGGCAGAGAGGACTCTGAGAAGGTGTGAGGACCAGCAGGAATGAGCATAGGCTGTACTTCAAAGCCCATTCTATCCCTATCCTCTGTTATTTTTGTATGCTTCACTTTCCATTATCCATAGACTCATGGAATAATGGAGTTGGAAGGGACCTAAAAGGATATTGAGTTCAATCCCTTGCTCAGTGCAGGAATCCAAGTTAAATATATCTGACAGATGGCTGTCTGGTTTTCTCATGAATGCCTCCAGTACTGGAGAGCTAACAGGAGGTTTTTCTTGAAATTCAGCTGAAATATGGTTCCCTGTAACTTGAGCCCATTATTGCATGCCCCGCACTTTGGAATGGCTGAGAACAGGTCCTGCCCGTCTTCCATATGACAACATTTCAAGTATTTGAAGTGTGCTGTCTTATCTCCCCTTAGCCTTCTTTTCTCAATGAGTTGAACACGCCCATTGCTTTCAGGGCTTGATTTCCAGTCCCTTGCTCTCCTTATTGTCATCCTTTGAACCTTGTTCTAGTTTGTGTGCCTCCTTCTCTCCCACCTTTTCCTCCCCCATCTTCTTTCTCTTTCTGAAACACACCTTCAGTAGGTTCCTATTGTTAGGTAACTGGCTGTGAGATCACAGCTCTACTTGAGTGCTGTGGTGAAAATGCTTCTTTGTTCTGCGGAGATGATGTGGCATGTTGCTGTTTGGGCTACATGAATATGACAGCACATGGCGGTGGTATTTTTTATTGTCATTGCACCTTCCTCCTCCTCCTCTTGGTGGCTATAGCTGTCATTCCAAGGAAATACATCTATCTTATTCTGACCACAATTACCTTGAGAGGAAACCCCCAAATGATCTGTTTGCAAAGATAGCAATGACCTTGCAAGGCTAGACAGAAAACAAAAAACATTCCCTCCTTTTCGAAGCAAAAGTCACAGTCCTATGGATAGTTCTATAGGAAGCTTTATTAAATCTAGTGACATGTTCTTTTATGCAAGCAAACAGAGAAGTGGATTGTAGCTTAGATTCTCTGTGTTTCATGTGCAGCTGTCTGTTTCTTTCACTCCTCTTAGGCCCCTGCTTATGCTGCTTGCTCTGAGGCTCTACCTATGCAGAAACAGGGCAGTGTCAAGACAGGAGACTTTTTCAAGCAAAATGATTGGGCACATTTATGCAAACTTACCTTTTGAACCATTTTCCTACAGTGGCCATGCAAAACTTAAACACTTCCATAAATCATTTTTTAAAAACCGTTTTGCTATATTGGATATATTGTCTAGATGTTATTCCTATAGGACCCAGTATTGTTCTCAGGGACCCTCCAATCCAATCTGGATCCACTTGGAAAGTATTCTGACCTGGAACTGTGGGATGCACTAGAGTTATGCGACTTGAAGAATTTTGTGCAGTCGCTCCCAAAGAAGCTGCTCCATGAGATCTCGGAGGGTGGCGAAAATCTAAGGTGTGGCTTCAACCATATTAAAGGTTGTACTGGATAACCATAAGAATTGTGATTTGCACTTGCGCATTAGCTCCACACGCTAGTCCTAGTGTTCCTGAACATTATTATGGGGAGCCTACTTGTCAGATACCGAGGCTGAGTGTATATTATGTCTTCCCAGCAGAACATCCAGTCTTCAAATACTGGCCTGTCCAAGTTTGCAGGTTGCTCACTGCTAGATAATGCACAACATTTGGCTGTAAAAAAAAAATACAGGGGAAAGGTGAGGGCACTTTGGCGTGAGTCACTTCAGGGCTGGACCCTGCCTCCTGTTGTGTAATGCATTTTTTACATGTCCGGGTGGGAAATATAAGGGACCAAATGAAGGAGATTACTTAAGCCCTCATTGCCAGATATGGGATGCTAGTGCATTTGGCTAACACATTCCCTTACCAGCCTCTGAGAGAAGGGCAAATATGGGAAAAGTTACTGTATTTTTCCGTGTATAAAATGACACTTTTTCCTAAAATAATTAGAGGAAAAATTGAGTGTCGTTTTATACATGGAAGGAAGCCGTTGCACGCGTGCTTAGGCGCCTCTTGCTGCCACCGCCGCTGTTCAGTTGCCTCTTCTGGAGCTCACTGCTTGTTCCATCCGATGGCCGAGGCTGCAGCAGCAGTGGAAGGCGGAGACGGAGGTGAAGGAGTTTGCCTCTTCCAGAGCTCATGGCTTGTTCCATCCGATGGCTGAGGCAGCAGCAGCAGTGGAAGGCGGAGACGGAGACGAAGGAGTATTCACACATGCTCGGGTGCCTCTTGCTGCTGCCTCCCCTGCCCGATCACCGCCTCCACGGTGCCTCTTGCTGCTGCCTCCCCTGCCTGATCACCACCTCCAGTGGGAATGAGGCTCAGCTCACGTCACTGCCTTGTCCCCTCCGGTGGCGGAGGCAGAGGCAAACAAGCACTCTCTTGCGCTTGGGCGCCTCTTCCTGCTGCCGCCGCCAGATCACCTCCTCTAGTGATCATTCCTGCTGCCGCCACCAGATCACCTCCTCTAGTGATCGGCTCCTTAGGGCATTGGACCAGGCAGTGACAAGGTGAGCTACAGGTGAGCCCCAGCAGTCGCACTGGAGGAGGTGATCAGACAGGCGGCGGAGACAGCAGCAGCAGGAGATGGAAGTGGAGGAGTTGTTGCCCATTAACTGCTCCTCCACCTCCATCAAGGGTCAAAATTAGGTGGTCGTTTTCTACATTTTGGGGTTGTATACACAGAAAAATGTGGTAAATGTTTTTACATGACATCTTCCAGAATTGTAACCATAAAATTATAAGATATAGTGGCCTAAGTGCCCAGGGAGAACTATTATAATCTAAAAAAAAAAAACTTTCCCCATCTCTGGACAATGTGGTAGACAATATGTTGTCCTCCAGAAATGCTTATAACTCTCATCAGCTCTAGTCAGCATAGTGGAGGATGCAGTCCAAAGAGCCAGAATTGTGGCAAGGGCCACTTTTTGCCAACCTTCGAAAGGGTTGTCATGTAATTGAAACACACCTCTGATCTATTGAGGGATTGACACATAGTGGATAGACGTAGTGCTTCTCATCTTCCAAAATATGGTGTGTCATCTCTCTAGAGTTTTAAAGCCTTTATTCCACTGAGGGGTCGTGGTCCTGAATCTCTTCCTAAAAGTTCTGCATTGATTATGCCACTGTTTGTACATACAAAACACCACTTAACACATCAAATCATGCAGCCTAGTGCAACCTATTCAAACTAAAAGCAGCTCTCCAAGGAGGTGGTGCAGACAGGTCTTTTCTATCTCTACTAGCTCTTGAGGTCCTTTTAGTTGGAGACACCAAGGAATGAATTTATCACTTCTTGCTGTATATGCTCATAGTTCTGAGTGATGCTTTCTCATTTCAGAAAGCTCCACCATGGCCAGGCATGATCAGCAAATCTGGAAAGATTGAGCAAATGACTAGTATGATAATCTAGATCTCAGTATTCCTATGAACCTTTGAACTCCCCTTATTGTTCTGTTGTCTGAAGCAATGAAACAGACAGAACGTTAAACTGGGTTGCATGGAGTCTTCTACCTCTAATCCAGATGCAATCTAGAAGAGTCCATGCAAGCCAGGATGTGGACATTTCCAGTCATACTCCACCCAATTGTACACCTACTCACCAAGAAGCCGTAGCAGCCAGCAATTTCCTGTTGATGAAGCGAGGCCGGTAGTCATTTGACAAAACACAATTTAAATTGTATTTCTTTTCTTTTCTTTTTTTTTCAGTGCGGGACAGAGACAACTTGTTTGTCTTGCTCGTGCTTTGTTACGGAAGACAAAAGTGTTAATCTTGGATGAAGCGACAGCATCAATTGACATTGAAACAGATAATCTAGTGCAATCCACAATCCGGAAAGAATTTCACAACTGCACAGTACTCACCATTGCCCACAGGCTTCATTCAATCATGGACTCTGATCGGTAAATAGTTATGATGGGCTTCCTTCTCTCCTTATCCATACTTCTTTAACCATTTAGCTACTGAAAGTTAAATCACTGAAATGGTTTGTCTCTCCACCATTGTCAAGGTTTTGCTTCCTCAAGTTCAAAATAGTTTTGAACAAATATTTTACATTGTCACAAAAATCTTTTGGCCAAAATCCTGTTCATTACACCTGTGAGTGTAATGCAAACAGCTTAACATTTGGTGGTGATCAGCTGCAAGTTAAGAAATCACTGTAGACGTTATCTGTCATGCATCAAGTTTCATGACTTGGCATGCAACAACATCTACACTGATTTTTTAATTTGTGGCAATTAGTCACCAAAAGTTACACCATTTATGTTATGCTGGCATAAAAAGACAGTAATATTTTGACCACTGCCACCTATTGCCTGGTGAATTCTCGATAACACCATTGATTTAAGTGGAACCCACCATAGTGGGCTCATGTTCCATTGTGTTTGAACTCATAATCTTTATTGACAGGATTACAACATGTCTAAAGTGAAAAAGTAAACTGAGTTCATTCATGACCTTAAGGCCATAACATTTTTACAAACTTCTTTACAAAAATATGATGACTGGCCAAACCACTTTTTATAGTGCAACAAGTAATATTTGCTTATTACTTTTAAATAATCTTCCAGGGGCTCATTTGGAGAGGATTTTGACTATTTTTCTTTTTTAAAAATGTAGATAGATAATAGAAGGGTAACAACAAATGTGAGTAAGATCTTACTAACACCTACTCTTAAAGTAACAAGAAACATCTTATTATGTGCTGTCAAGACACAGAGTTGACTTACCTTGAAAAACCTACTACCATCATTGTCGGTGAGGTATTTAAGGAGTGGATTTATCAGTTTTGCACTCCCACTGAGTTTCCATGGCTGAGTGGGGATTTTGATCCAGGCCTCCTGAGTCCTAGTCTGGCACTCTATCCACTACACCAAACTGGGCACCCCAAAAAGTTACTGCTAATATATGAAGAATGCACTATAATACCCTTAAAGTTAGCTAGCTTTCACACCTTGGACAGTGCCTCACACAGCAAAATAATCTTAGAATAATAATCTTAGAATTGCAGAGCTGAAAGAGACCCTATGGATCATCAAGTCCAGCCCCTGCCAAGGAAGCGCAGTGGGGAATCAAACACCCACCTCTGGTTCCCCAGCTTTGAAAGATGTCCAAACCTAGATGAGTTGTAACCCTTCCTTGTTTGGCTAACAGCACCATTAAGTAGTCTATTGTGTCTTCATTTTTCAGGGTGCTTGTTCTGGATTCTGGAAGGGTTGCTGAATTTGATACACCAGATTGCTTGCTACAACAGAAAGGCATGTTTTACAGAATGGTATCTGAAGCTGGACTACAGCAAGAGACAGCTGCCTAACCGATTTAGGAACACGGTGTGCATATTTTTTAAAAACTGTGCTACAAGTATAGCATTCAGAGTTATTTAATTTTATAAGGGCATAAAGGTGTGTGGGAGGGATTAATAGAATAAATGGCAACAATAAACAATTTTAATACAAAATATACATGTCTGTCTGAATTATTTTGCTAAAATGATTAGACAAAACATATGCTTCAAGGTCTTAAGGGCTCATATTTGCATCTTTGAACATCTTTGCCACCTTTAGTTTAATTGTACATATTACGTACTGAGGGCATGATTGTTTCCTATAGGGCAGGGTGCATTGAGAATACCAAAAAGATTAATAAAGGTGTGTTGGCAACCTCTAAGCTGAAGACTGCATTTGCACGACAGGCATCCATCAAGAACGGTCCAGTGTGGGTAGTGCATTCATTCACCTGACCACCTTTGAATGTATGGATCCAGTTTGCTTTGAAAAAGCTATTTCTCTGTGCTCAGGGGGGAAAGAGGCTGTTTCCTCTGTATCTGAGAAGGGACAGACTTTGAAAGCATGGATCCAGCAGGATCAGGATTTTCAAACAGCTCTTCTCTTGCTATGGGAATTGTTGAAATCACTTTCCTTGTCAAACACAAGAGTGCATTGCCAACAGTGTCATTCCAAAGGCCAGTAGATCACTTTCGTTGCCACTCAGAGAACTTTCCAAGGTATAGGAAGACATGCAACTTACAGTCTTACTGGTAGTCTCTTTGCAGTGGTAGGGGAAGTAATAAAGGAGTTCACTGAGAGAGTAAAGTTCTGTGTAGTTGACTAATTTGGGGGACTGGGTCTAGCATCAACTCTGTGCCACTTCCCTTTCTCATCCACATCTGCACCACTGGCGGCAATCAGCATAATGACAACTTGCTTGATGTACATATGATCTTTTGTTGCAATTTCCAGACTGTCAAGCAATGTCTTTGGTTATTCTTTTTCCAATCCAATCAAACTTTTATTGACATACACAAAACACCAAATCAAAACTACATTCTGTAAAACTCGTTTGCAGCTTTCTGGAACAATATCAAAGTTTGTTCAGATTCAATGTAGTTTTACTATTTGTGCCACAAGACGCACTCTCCATCCTATCCTATATACCTTGTAATAATAATAATTAAAAATTTAATTGTCGTAATTAGCCTAGTGATTACATTAGAGGATCCATAAACCTGGCTCAAGCAGGGAGCGCTGGTTCAAAGTGTGCTATTTTTGGCCTGTTAACTACAGGTATGTGTGCTAAGAAGCATGCTACTTTCTCCACCCTGTCTTCCACGCTGTTGCATAACAAAAAATGCATTCTGTCTATATCTTACCACCCTCTTGCCTTGAGCAATACTGAGCCCAGATAATTGAGCACGGGGTTCTGAATAGCGAGGGCAATATAAACACATGTGTACCAACGACTCAATTCCTCCCAGTTCAAAAGAGCAGTTCTTCTCATTGTAAGGAATACCCTGACACCTGCTAGATAATACTGCTGAAGGCATTACATTAAATCTGGCCAGGGAATAGGCTCTGCGTTTTTGAGGTGATTGCAATAGATGGTAGTATAGGGCCCTCTGGCCCTGCCTAACAGAAATCAGGTGGCTTGTGGGGGGGACAAGTCTTACTTGCTGCACTTAGGAGATCCTGGAATTCGCTCTCTAACATCCTGCATTTAATCAGCTGAAATGCTTCCTTGTGGGACAGGGAGCCCAGTGATTCCACTGACAGGCCTATTAGTGAGATTTTCTTTTCAATATAGGCAAGCTCTCTAGCGATAGTTGTGGGTTTTTCGGGCTTCTTGGCCGTGTTCTGAAAGTGGTCAAGCATCAACAAAACTTCAACCGGAAGGAGGAATGTCTGAAACTCAACAAAACCTGGCTCCCAGCTCTCAAAAACACAGAGTGCAAAAGGTCAACGAACTCCACCCAGCCACAAGGTCAGGGGATTACTGCACACAAAAGACCAGCTAATGACACCCATCAACCACAGGGACAGATAATCTCCCCTCCTTATCAAAACAATACATCCACAACAAAAAACATTAATCAACCATCTCCTGATTAGGACAATAGCCTACCTCACAAACTAGCCTTCTCACAGCCATAAATACTCCACCCACTCTCAAGCCTACCCAGAGCACAGTTTGCTGTCCTCTGAAGATGCAGGCCACAGAGACTGGCGAAACGTTAGGAAGAACCACTTTCAGAACACGGCCAAGAAGCCCGAAAAACCCACAACAACCTTTAGATCCCGGCCGTGAAAGCCTTCGCGAATACATTCTCTAGTGATACTTGGTTCTCAGAAAAATGTGTAAAAAACTGCCCTCTTTGAAGTTATAATGGATCTTCAACCAATATTTGATTGATCTCAGCCATGCCTGAGTCGCCGCCATATTTTGGCCTGTCTCTAAAGGGCTGCGTATGGCAGACAAGTTGGTACTGCCAGAATTTTCTGCAGGAACATAGATTGGATTTGCTCTAGGGAATGATCCCAGGCCTTTATCCATAGAGGTATGCCATATAGCAGCTGTGGAATAATCTTTGCATTAAACTTTTAATGCAGGCGGTACATATCTATTTCCTGTATTATAAAAGAATCTACGGATTGACTGGTTAAGTACCCTTGGCCCGCTGTATTGCTGTTTTACAGTGTAGGACCCAGCTATATTTAAAATGAAACATAATGCCCAGATACCTGAGGTATTTAACCTGCTCAATCTTTCTTCCTTCAAAAATCAACTTGTGCAATTTCCATCATTTTGCGAATACCACAGTTTTAGACTTTAACATAATTGAGTTGTAAGTTATTATTGGCTACAAACTTGAGGCATTTGTACATCAGACATTTTAAACCAAGTTTGGTACGAGATACCTGCATCATCTGTGTACAAAAGTAAAGGGAGCTTCGTAGAGCCAATTTTAGGAGGGTGGCCCTCAGTTTCCAGTAGGAAAGGGGCTATGTCATGCAAAAACAAGTTGAACAGGGAAGGCGCTAATAAACAGCCCTGTTTGACCTCTCTGTTGGTGGATATCCGGTCAGTTAAAATCCCTGAGTTTGAGCATTTGATTTGGCAGGAGGTTGTAGAATACAGTCTCTTAATAATAAATACCAGCCTTCTATCAATTGAGAGGTTGGCTAGTTTGTTCCACAGTTTTACTTGGTCAATTGAATCAAAGAGTGGATCTAAAAAGGCTACAAACATGTTAGATTTGGCCTGCTTTACATATTTATCCGACGTGCTGAGGTGAAGCAGTGATCAAGGGTGGATTTCTCTTTCCTAAATCCCGCTCGTTCTGGTCCAATTATTGCCATCTGCTCTTCCCAGGCTGCCAGCTTACTTACCCCCTTTTTAGCCCTGCAGACCAGATGGGGAAGGTGGGGCACCCCCCCCTGCGCTTGTGCACATACACAAAGGGCAGTGCAGCGCTCATGCAGGCACACGCAGTTGCACGCAGGCACAAACAGGTTGTGTGTGAGGAGTGCATGCAGGGGTGACGTCTCTCTCCGGGCCCCGGTCCGGCTCGGGCCCCGGACCAGCTCCAGCTGCAGACCGGGGGGGACCTCTGTTTTAAAGCACTGTTGTGCAGTGGTTTGATGCCAGCTGTCAAACTGATTTTAGAGCTCAGACTACTCCATTATTCAACTTCATGTACTTTTATATGAAATAGATTCTAAAATGAATTAATGTTAAGGATTCTCTTATGCTGTTGAGCATCATGAGAAGATTCTTATTCCGTATACCTGGATATCCATCAAAATGGATGCTAGTATGATGTGAATGGGATATATTATTTTAAAATAAACACCAGACACTGTAAAAGCTATTTATTCAATACAAAAAATAAATTTTAAAATGGAGTGCCCAGGAAAAAAATATATGTATATGCATTTTCCATTCAGAAAAGCTGTTTAACATTAGTCCACATCCAGCTTGTCCATTTTTTCTGTCACAATGGAGAAAAAACTGTAGCAATAGCAAAAAAAAAAGTGACACACATCACTTAGCTGACCCAAAATACTAGGACTGAACTGACAGAATATAAGTAAATGTCTTGTTTTCATGTATGTCATGATGTAGACAGCTGCATAGGGCAGCTTAATGACATATGCATGATCCTTTTTCCTTTCAAGCTGGTGTTACAGCAAGAATATTTTCCTGTATTCCTTTTGTGTGAAAAATAAGGTTTTCAGAGGTTGCTACTCTGAGCAGTGCTCACGTTTCCTGTATTCCTTTTGTGTGAAAAATAAATTAAGGTTTTGAGAGGTTGCTACTCTGAGCAGTGCTCACAGCAACTCTTTTACTATTCACCAAATGAATCTCAGTCTCTTAAGAGCTGTTCAAGTTTTATTGCAGGAACACACCCACAAGGGTGATACTCTATTACAGCTGAATCTCATGTTTATTTAATCTTTTACCTGTATTTGTGTTGTTGTGTTGTTTAGCTTATGTTTGATTTGTTTCACAAGGGAAGGTTGTAGCACACTTTAAATAAAGAGATTACGTATCATTAAGACTAAAACCATGAAACAGAACAAATCCTTCGTTCTACCATGAGCAAAAAGTGATTCTTGGCATATTAACGTATGGCAGCATTGCTACCTATTTTGGAGACAAGAAAAACTTGCCTTTTGTTGGCAAAATTATAGAAGGATTAGCGCTTTATCACTAATTTTGCTTCAATTTTTTATTAAATGCAGTTTAGTGCTGCGTCTGAATTATAAATGGGTTAATCCCACCTGTGGTGTGAAATACAGATGGAAATGTGTAGCCCTCCAAATACTGTTGGACAGGAACTCCCATCAGCCCTCACCACCGGTTATGCTGGCTCAAGCCGATGGGAGTTGTAGTCTAATAACATCCAGAGGGTCACACACTCTCTATCTCTCATCTAAAAGGTAAAGCTTCAAAAGTTTAAACTTTATAGCTCCAATCCTGAGAACTGTTAAGCCTAACATAATGCTCTCTGAAATGGTTTGCATTTTTTCATCAACAGCTGATAATCTGCAAATAGAGATTTGAATTGTTATAAACTAAAACCATAAAACTAATGTCCTAGTTCTTTGAAGTATTTGGTGGTCATACCAACAGCAACATAATCTGTTATACCTGTGCAAAAATGTGGCACAACATGCAAAATACTCTTTTCTATGATGAACATGTCCTGGCTATCTCCTCTAATAATAAAAAAAAAACTTTTGAGCATCAGTGCCACTAAAATGCCCTCCATGTACTTAAGTTTTAGCAATCTGGTTTAGGTAACGATGGTAGATTTTGCTTACATGCAAGTCATTCTTTTTTTGACAAAGCACCAACATAGACTTCATATGTAAACTAAACTAAGCAATTATAATTAAAATCCTTGTAAGTGCTTCTACAGTTATGTTGATACAATTTTCTAGCCACCACAATCAAGAAAACTGCTTATGGCCATATTTTAGAGTGCCCAGTGGACATATTTGTCTAAGTGGAGAAATACCCAAGAACGCTTGGCATTGCTTGCATGTATAGTCCAACACTGCAATTTTAATATTTTCTTTTTTGACAGTAAGAATTAGAGAGAAATCCCTAGGTTGCACACTTGAAAGCAAATCTAAAATAAACAGCAAATGGTGAGATGTTTTCTTCAATACTAACAGCAACAGCTGGAAAATACTAATATTATCATTAGCAAGCATGGAGGATTGTCTTTTCAAAAATCACAGAATATTTCTCTCTATCAAAGCATTGACTGAATATGCCACTTCAAAGGATTTTTTTAAAAAATGGAATGATTTAAAGCTGTTTTCTGAACTACATAAACAGACAACTAAAACATGGATAGTTATTTGCATTATGGAATAACTAGTAGTATCAAGGCATTAAAACTGGAAGTCAACCATTAGGCCAAGGTTCATACACTGACTCTTTTTGAAGGATTAGTCCTAAAAATGGTTTAGAGCAGTGGTGCATAACTCATAATCTTCTAGATATTATTGGTGTACAACTCCAGGGCTGATGTGAGTCACAACTTCTGCAGAGTTACACATTCCACAGCCCTGACTGAGGGAAACATTAACTTCAGGCTCATGCTCGCCCCTTCCATTTACCTCAGGCATGGCTTTCAGCTAACCTTCACTACAGCTTACTGAAACAAACCAGTTTCAAGCAGTGGTTTATACCCTAAAGCCATAGTTACAATTAAGTACAGTTTAAAAACTCTATATAACACTAAAACTGCATTTAAGTGAGAATGGAAAGCAAAACCTTGCATCCTCCATGCCATGGGACAGGGGAGTGTATGAGCTCAATGCTCATGTATAATAACACTAACCAGTAGCTTGGTATCACAACCCAACTACGTCAAGTCCAGATTTCTAAGTGATAGTGTCCATTTAGCATACCCATTAGCATCTTTCCCTAATGGGGTATCCCCACAGAAAACCATTGCCTCTTACGGTCTCAAAGTAGGAAATATTAAGAGGTTTAAAGCAGTGATAACTCCCCATATGTATTAATGAACACATTAGACAGGGAATTTTGATAACAGGATCTAAAAACATTCAAGCTTGAATGCAACATTGAGAAAAGTGCTTTCATACACCATTTTGATGAACTTTTGCATTAATACTGCTATGTGCCAGACCAGGCAGTCAATACATGCTCCTGGGAAAAGCCAGGATCCAATGCCAACACTATCTCCATCATTACTCTAGAACTAATTCATTCTATTTTCAAGTAATGAAGTCTTGAGGTTTGTTCATTATTAAAGGGGTTGAGTGGAATGAAATTCTTACACTCCTGAATGCTGGCTGTAAGTGAGAACATACTTTCCTCCAAATCAAGAAGAAATAAAGAATTTCTTATATTTCAGATGTCTAACCCCTTAGAATAGAAAGAACAGACACTGAATGGTCCAGTACCATGCAAATGGAATTATGTTTGGACAAACAGAATTTTGCGTAGTTATTGAACTAAAAGAACCAAATGAGAAAGAACACTGAAAACAAACAGAATTTTGCGTAGTTATTGAACTGAAAGAACACTGAAGCTCAGTCAAAATTTCTCTTTCGTAAATGCCTGTTTGGGATTTCCACAGCACTAACTTGAAGAGGCCAAGATCCCCCAACAATTCCTGCTTGGATAGCTACCCCTATTACCACTGCTAGGTCTGGATCAACAGACGTGTTGGGTTTTTTCCCAAAAAAATCTGTAATAACTTTACGTATTCTTGGAATTCTAGTGGAGCCTCCAACTAATACAATCTCATCTACTTCAGTCTTGTCTAGATGTCCATCCTTCAATACCTGCTCAATGGGCACAAGGATCTTCTGAAAAAGGTCCTCATTTAATGTTTCAAAGAGTTTCTGAGAAATTTTGGTTTCAAAGAGAACATTTTTCCAAATATTGCTCTGTGTTTCTGAAAAGGTTTCCTTCCTACCATCTTTCATCCCAGGTTCTATTTCTGATGGGAAATCCTCATGTTTGCTAGTTATTGTGTTCTCTTCCTGGAAATGTTCATGTTGGTCTTTCTTCTCTGGAATCGTAAGAGAAACTCTGATTGTGGAAGAGATGTGATTTGTCAAGTTTAGTTTGGCAGCTTCTACAGCCTGTCTGAGTCTGTGTATTTCTTCCTTCTTGGACGGTAAAGAGCCATACATGTGGAAGATCTCATTATAGAGATACTGCATCAACCGTTGATTGAAGTCCTGTCCCCCAAGTTTGTTGTTACCTAAAGGAAAAAGAAACAGTGTCAAAAATATACAGTATTGTGGGGCAACAGAAGATGGAAAAACAGAGATGCTTAAGAAACAGATCTCAGTAAGCTACATCTTTTCAGAATTGAATACTCTTAAAGGCTTGCACAATGTTTATACCTGTCACATATTCAACATGCCCTCTGTTTTTATAGGAACTGGCTGACGTAAGAAACAGATTCATTGTTCCCCTAGCCAAAGGTGCCTGCAGAAATCATTCTGTGAGTTCTATTAATGATATCTATGGATTGCTGATGATAGTTTTTACACTATTTGGCAACACAACCTTCCCACCAGTCATCATAATAAGGTACTGAAGAGAGACAAATAAAGAAATAACAAACTTAGGATTTGCCCTCCCCCCTTCTCCCATGGATAGTCATACTCCTAGTAGGCTGCTGCCAAGTGCAAATGAACTGTAGTTTATGCAAGGCAGCTCTATAAAAGTTATACAGAGCCTAAGGTACAGCTACATGGGCTGATTTGGAAATAATTACCATCAAAATGAATGAAGTATGCTTTCAAACAAATACATTTAAAAGCAAATTGTAAATGGGATACACAGGGAAAAACGAGAAACGTGCTTTAGTTGTTTAGCAGTAAGCTCTACTTCATTACTTCATCACAGGATCAACACATACACAATTTTTGTCACTTTATGGGCAGTGATCAAATCTAGGCTTTCACACATGACTGGCTCATAATAACAATATAGCACATGCAGCACTGTCAAGGTCAAAAGTACAACGCTCAATGACCTCACAGCACTATAAAACTTTACAACACCCCTTGGTAGTTTTGCTCTGTGGTTGTCCATCACAGTTGAACATTTATCCCTGAAAGAGTTAATTCTAGTATGACTAAGACAACCTTTTCTAATAATTTCAAAATTCATCTGGGTATCAAGATATAAGTTGCTTCATTTTTGGAATGATTCCAGTTAACATCAATTGGCTATTTCTACAAGCTTTATTCATCTACATTGCTTCTATGTTCTATACTCATACAAAATACTTCAATACTTTCTCTCGCTTCCTTTTCAGTTAAGAGCAACAGCAACATGTCCAGACCTTTGCCGGATTCAGAGCTGAGCAGACCTACACATGATGACGCGACTCGAGCTCTGCAAGCAACAAAAGCTGCAAGGCATCACAGATGGATGAAGTCCAACCAGAGATCATCCACTGGACTACTGAACAACAGAGAAGAGCTACATCCCCCATGCTCAACTGTCAGCGGGAGGATGTCAAGGTCTGAAATGTCATATGTACAGAGTGCTAAAATGATTAAGGGGAATGTAAAAATGTAACCCTGAAAATGTACATTGTGCTTAACAAAAAAGAAATTTGAATAGCTGTGCAAAAAGTCCCTGCATGAACCTCAGCAAACTCTCTTCAAGCCATGATAGAGAAAGTAAGGTCAATGTAAAACAAAATAATGTAAGGCAGAACACTTGTATCCTTCTCCCTAAACTGAAGTGCAACGTTTTTCCCCGTGGATTTAGTTCACACCATCTCCTGAATATCGTCTGAGAGTGGGAGACCTGACTTGACTCTTGCATTATCTCCTTACAGAATTTTGCTGCTGACAAAAGAAACCTGTAATTTAACTTTAAAACAAGGCTCATGTGGAACCCAGACCTTATTTTCAAACTAAATAGTGCTTCCAACAGCGTTTCAAATGTTTTCACTTGAAGACACATATTCCCCACCTATCTTGGTAAATGGTACCCTTTTTTGATTCCATATTACCAAATTTCCCCAATGAAGAGGCATATAGGTGGAGCCTACATATTGCCCATCCTTGATCTAGTTATAAAGTTAATCAAATAATGTGCAAGCATATGGAAAAGACACCAAATGGGCTCAGAGTACTAGAACTGCAATCTAAACTGTTTCTGAGTGTTTCATAAACAAGTTATGCACTAAATTAAATTAAGGCTTTTCATTACCTGCCATAGCACGTGTCAAAAACATCCCTCCTTGCTTGTTCAGCAGAGAGACATCTAATGTGCCTCCACCCAAATCTACTACCAGAACATTGGACACATCAGCCTTGTGGAGACCATATGCCATTGCAGCAGCTGTGGGTTCATTAATTACTCGCAATATTTCCAGTCCTGAGAGAGAGAGAGAGGTATGAATGATCATTTATTTGTTATCAATTGGAGAGAGAGAGAGAGGTATGAATGATCATTTGTTATCAATTGATATTTATTTATTTATTCCATTTATACCCCGCCTGTCTGGTCATATTGACCATATCTATCAGATATTTTCAACACACATCTCCATTGGGATTTTACTCCACAGTAGGTGAAATCACATAAGTCTGAGTGGCACATTGAAGCTAATTAACAAAGTGACCAAGTGCCAGTCACATGGCTGGCTGCATAACTGGCTATACAAATAGCAAGTGGGCAGCTCTCCATTAATTAGCTGTAATTTGTTGCCATGACATGCAATTTCTCTTACTCCAGAGCAAAATGCCTATAGTATTTTGTCCAAGATGCATTCATATGGTGTAGTAGCCAATGGTTTTATACAAAATGCAATGAATCCATGGAAATTGTTGGCCCTTTTTAAAACATGTCTGCTTTTTGCAACTCTTTCCTTCTTGGGTAACAAGCTAAGTTCTAGCTGATGTGAACATGGTCTTATATTTACACTCCATTCCACTGCATCCTCATAATTTCAAAATGGTCCATTTTATAGTGTTTGTTGTTCCACACTTTTTCATAGTTTCTACTTGCATTATATACAATTGTGTCAATACTGGCAAACAATTACACATATAATTGTTATAAAAACTGTGTTTAGTAAGAATACCCAACAAAATGCATCACCTGCAAGGCTAGCTGCCTTGATTGTATAATTTCGTTGCCTCTCATCAAACTCTGCTGGCACAGAAATAACTGCTTTGGAAACTGGCATTCCAAGATAGTCTTCTGACATTCTTTTCAATTTCAAGAGAAGCTGAGAACCAATATGTTCTGGTGTCACATTATAAGTCTCATTGGTTACAACAGAAAATTCAGCAGCTCCTTTGTTGTTAATTATCTGGAGAGGAGAAAAAGAGAGCTGTAAAATACAGACCTATCCTAAATTGCAACTCTATACATATTGGACTAATGGCAAAAATACCTACTAGCAAGAATTGATTCCATATAAGTATACATCTGACTTTGTTCTTTGCAAGCAAAATTATTTAAATTGGATGCAGAATTTATATTCTGTAAACAGTCCATCTGCTCAAATTTTTTGCAAGGGAGGCAGGGAGATGCCCCTTTGTTATACAAATGCTTACCCATTAAGCAGGATTCCTTTATCATCTGTATAGCATTATCAGATCAATGAATTGTGAGGGGCAGGGGAAGTAATTGGCTTCCACCAGACAAAATATATATGACTAAATCTAGAACCAACCCTTCATTAATTCCTTTATTTTGGTATGATCATGTATTTAAGGTTTATCTATAATAACAAATATTTTGCCTGAAGTGACCTTTCATTACCTGCAACCACAGATTACCATGATGAATAAATTGTAAATTGTTGAAAATCAGTGCAGTAAAAATAGGTCTGTCAGAATCCTGTTATTTATGTCTGGCAATGCAAGTCCAATAGTCTTTTAGTCACAAATGGCAACCACTTAAGAAGTCTGATTTCTTCCTTTTCTCGTCATATATCAGTTGTATGACTCAGCACAAGCACCTTCTTTTTATTATGTGCTGTCAAGTTGGAACCAACTTATAGCAATTCTAACAGGGCTTTCAAAGTAAGTGAGGTATTTAAGGAGTAGTTTTATCAGTTCCACACCACAGGCAAGATTTCATGGCTGAGCGGAGATCTGAAACAAAGCCTCCTGACATCTAGTCCATCACTCTGTCCACTATACCACACTGGGTATCCTTGTTCTTTCTTAACTGGTAGCAATTAACTGTTGAAATTTACAGTGTTAGAGTTATGTTGCTACAAGTATAAAATAGGATTCTAGCCAATTTATATCATGGGACAGTTTACTAATGCAGTTCAAGGATAAAATATGCTTCTCAATTGCACTAAACACTTCTAATCAAAAAGATTCAACTGCCCTATTTCCAGGCAAAAATAATTTTTCAAATGGTTTCAGGTCTTCTAAACTGAAAGGTGGGATGTGGCAATTTATTATTATTAGTTTTACTTATATAAGGGGTATAAGGTGGTGCTGTGGATTAAACCGCAGAAGCCTCTGTGCTGCAAGGTCAGAAGACCAGCAGTCGTAAGATCGCATCCACACGACGGAGTGAGCTCCCATCGCTTGTCCCAGCTCCTGCCAACCTAGCAGTTCAAAAGCATGTAAAAATGTGAGTAGATAAACAGGGACCACCTCAGTGGGAAGGTAACAGCGTTCTGTGTCGTCATGCTGGCCACATGACCATGGAAACTGTCTTTGGGCAAATGCTGGCTCTGTGGTTTGGAAATGGGGATGAGTACCATGCCCTAGAGTCAGACACGACTGGACTAAATGTCAATGGGAACCTTTACCTTTACCTTATTTATATGCTGCATTTCTCCCAACAAGGGACCCAAAGTGGCTCAGAATATTAAAGTTCACACAGTTTAAAAACAAAATAAGTTAAATATTAAAAAAATTAAACAATATATCATTTAAAACACAATTAAAAGATTAAACATGACAACATCAAAAAGATTAAAATTATCTGCTAAAATGGGTTTCAGGGATTCAGTTATAATTGTTAAAATTAATGATGAACTGACTTGTGAAATGAAATTAAGAAGTAGCTTATCAAAAGCAAGAGATTTAAAAATATGGAAATTATTTCTGGAATACTTTTTTTGGAATGGGAGAAGGTATACACCAGGAGAAGAATCAATGTGTTTCTGACAAGAAATTGGGTAGAATGAAATGTAAGAATATCAAAAGCAGAACCTAGCCCTGAGGATGAAGGTGGCATGGGTGAAGTAATATGCTTAAGACAAATAAATTAATGTCATACATTGTACAAGTGTTTTTGGTTTGGTTTATGTTGTTTTTAATATAATTTTTTAAAAGGAATGAAGCAGAAATTTTGAGGGGGGAAATAGTAACATGTGAAAATAATAACATGTGATAGGGTTTTGTTTAGTTTCTTTTAATATGGTTTCTTATCTGTATGTTTTATAATATTTTGTAAGCTGCCCAGAGTAGTGGCATGCTCACTAAATGGGTAAGATATAAATTTAAATAAATAAATAAAGTTGTTGTTCCTAAATACCCCTTGGTAACTAGCTGATAACCAAAACTTCCAGATTACCTTAAATGGGTATCTGCTGCTTTCCTTTTCCAGCTCCTCTGGCATGAAGATCTTCCCTATAAACCGCTTGGCATCATACACAGTGTTCTGGGGATTTGCATCTGCCAACTCTAACCCATCATATCCCACATACACATCTCTCTCAGTAAATGATACAATGCTTGGGATACTGTTATGTCCATTTTCATCTGGAATCACTTTCACCTGCCCTGTGCCAGGAAGAAACACGCCAACCGAACAGTACGTGGTGCCGAGGTCAACTCCAATTACTTTTGGTGTGGGCATAGGTAAATACTGTTGGGCCAGGTATCCAGCTAACAGGAGTGTCAAAATAGCCGAACCTAAAATAAATAAATAAATAAAGTAAAATGTCACAGAACTCATTCCAGCAGGCAAAAATATATTATCTACTTGTTTTACATCAGACGTATTTGACAATCTTCTGCCGAGTCCATTGTTCTCTCTTGCACAAAACAAAAGCTCCTGTTCTCTCTTGTGCAACCAACGAAAGCTCCTCAAGTTCTTAAAAACATTGGCTGCCATCTTTCTGCTCCCTTTCGAACTCTACCACCTCCTTTTCACACAGGACACAGAAACATATGGTGTAATCTACAGATTTAAATAGCATTATTTTGATATTCCCACTTTTATTTTCAGTCCCCATCCTTCAACTTCCCTAGCCAAGGGAATCGAGGTGTGCCAGAGCCAATGAGCACAAACAGGTCACCAAATCTATCTTCACAAACCAAGGGTATATTTCTGATTAGTTATTGCTTGTTCCCGGAAACAAACACCTCAGCCTTTCCCCAGTGTCCGGTGTGGGACACAAACGGCCTGTGAAACAAACCTCGCATCCTTCTCGATATTTGCACACATCCCTTTTCAAGCAGTCCTGCCACTTGCTTGGCAGTTTCCAACAGTTTCCAAAACCTGGCCGTTTCGTGCCCTGACTCTGTCAAACTCCCAAGGACACCAAACTCTTGTATTTGTTGTCGAACAGGTCATCAGCAGAGTCTGCATTCGTCCAAAAGCTCATCTTAGTCTGGCAGGACCCGTCATCTCAGTATGACACGCGGGGTAACCCCGGAAAGGCCACGAACAGAAATTCTGGGGTAGCGTGCCACTGAAACAGGAGGCTCCACCGAGCCCTCGCAGCTACTTTCCAGTCGTGCAGCGTTTCCCTTTGTGTTTCGCGACAGTGAGGAACGGGTTTCGGCCAGGGGAACGAGCCCGGTTGTCCTCTCCCAAAAGCAGCAGCAGATGGGACGGCGAAAATCCACGCCGCCTCTGAGCAATGAGCCGGGCAAAACCCCCAACCGCGAGCATCTCCCCCATCCTGTTCACACACTTACCCAGCACCGTCATTTCCCCGGCCATCGCCAGCAACCTCGCCCGGGTTCAGCCCCTACGAAACACCGGCGGCCGCAAGCCGGCTTCCTGAGTCGCTTTGCTGACTGTGCCTTCGTTCCCCCTGAGCAAATTGGAAAACCCTCGCTCCGCGCCAGGCATCCTGGGAAAGGTAGTCTCTCTGCTCGCAGACGCCAGTAGACTCCTGTGGGAAAGGAAACTACAATCCCCATGAGGGAGCGCAGCTCGCAGAAACGCCTCACCGCATTGCGAGGGTGGACCAAGACACGTCACCCAAGCTGTGCGAAGGGGCTTGTGGGAAGAGGAGAGGCTTCTTGGTGACGTAATATGACGAGAAGAGGCGTTATTATGACGCGCTTCCTGGGGGAGATGATCAGTTTACTTTTTCCTGAAGTGACCGAAACTGGGTAGTGCATTAGCCTGATTGGCACGGTTGTGGTATTAGTTGCTTGCCTTAGGCAAATTGCCGTAGCCTTTCTCCTTTTATTTATTTATTTGGACTCACAGGTCGTCCGCAGCACATTACGGGGCTTGGGGCGGGAAGCGTGCTCTTTCCTTTCCACCGATTTGGGTCGATAGTTCGAAGCAGAGCCTCTCGCCAGTTCTTGGACACGGTCGGGCTTGGGCTTGGGCGAATCTCCGAGGCCAGAAACTGCCCCACGCGAGGCCCATTGGCAGGGGTGGCTTTGCTTCTGACTCCTGCTCCAAGTGCTTGAATTGGGGTTCCCATCAGCCTTGCCAGCCTTGGTCAGTGAGAAGAGCGAGGTGGTCCTCCTTCATCGATGACTAAGGAGGGAAAAGGCCCTCGCCCTTGTTCTACACCTGGCGTTGCAGAGGTCTTTTTGTGGATAAGGGGACCTTAGTCTGAATTGCCAAGGTGCAGACATATGTTTACATACAAGGCCGCCCAGAGGGTTATTAAGTGTTGGAACAAGACTAGTATATGGGCCCCCTCACCTACACATGGATGCGTAAATCAATAATGTAAAGGATAATAAAAACAATGTTACACATTAGTATATTGTGAGATAGTGGCTACCAAGGAGACAGAGTGAGCCATCCCCTCAAGCGTCTAAAGTAAAGCAAACAGAAGGGAAGGAGGAAGCAAGGAAAGAAGTAGGATCAGAATGGGAAATAGGTATTGAGTGAGGGAAAGATCAAGGGACAGGAACGTGCTGAAGAAGAGAAAAGAGATTGCGTGGAGGAGAAAGGTGACTCGAGACAGCCACGAGAGGGAAAGACAGTTAAACCCGTTAGAAACATCGGAGGGAGAAAAGAAGAAAGAGCTGGTAGTTGTGAGGGAAAAGATGTCTTTTTGACGGCAGAAGAAGGAAACTTATCTAAAGAAACGGAGAAGGTGACAGTATTCAATGAAAACATAACCGAGAAGCAAGATACAGAAACCCAGGTGTTCTCCGTACCTAGAAAAAGATCAGCAGTAAACTTAGATGAAAGAGGAAAAAAGATACCGACTAGAGAGAGCATAAGACCAGAGGAATTGGCGGTATTAGTATACCCCTAGGGCAAGGGTCCGGAACGATATGTACACCATGTGGATCCAGCAACAGTGGGGAATGGTCCCGGGCAAGGGTCCGGAACGATATGTACACCAGGTGGATCCAGCAACAGTGGGCGAGAAACCGCCGGAAGGGGAATGGTCCCGCCATCCATGTTGCGGGACCATATGTGCGGTACACAGTGGGTATCTGAGACCGCCCACTGTTCAAGAGAAACTAGCCAAAACTTATTATTAAAAGATAACAATAACGAGAAGTCTTATGTGGTTTTGGGATTGTTCTCCCCAGTTGTCATTACATAGTTCGGTTGATTTGAACAAAATAGATGTTACCAGTTGTGTTAATAAAAGTTCCTTTAATAATAATCCAGACTCATCTTTTATATTGCCTGAAGAGGAACAGCCTAAGGTGATTAACGAACCTTCTTACGTATATAATCAATAATGAAACAATATACATAAGCAATGAATTGAATACTAGATTATAAATTCATAACAGATATTATAGCTGAGATGTAATAGTATTTATATTCTGTTAAACAAGGATAGCAGAATATATATTCTGAATATATATTTATTGAGAATATATATTTACAGTGCTGCCTATCTTGACAACGTTAATTCGTTCCAGTGAAATCACTGAGTGAAAATGTCGTAAAGCAAAATAAAAAAGTCCATTGAAATGCATTGAAAACCGTTCAATGCGATCCAATGGGCTGAATAACTCACTGTCCAGTGAAGATCCTCCATAGGGGTGGCCATTTTCTGTGCCTGTAAAGTGAGGAATCCGTCCAAAAACACAGCGGGGAGCCATTTTGAGCAGCCGGTGGCCATTTTGAAGCCCCGACGATCAGCTGTTTTGATCGTCGTAATGCGAAGAATCGGTTACCGAAGCATGGAACTGATCATCACTAAGCAGAAAAACCCATCTAAACATTTTGCGATCGCAATTGCGATCTCCCGAAGCAGGGAACTGATCATCGCTAAACGGAAAAAACCTATCTAAACATCATTTTGCAATCGCAATTGCGATCGCAAAAACATCGTTGTGAAGTGGATTCGTTGTTATATGGGGTGATCGTTAAGCGGGGCAGGACTGTATTCTGCCAAACAACGGGACACGATCGTTAAGCGGGGCACGACTGTATTCTGCCAAACAATGGGACACAGTGGTACTGCGGGTTAAACCATAGCAGCCTCTGGGCTGCAAGGTCAAAAGACCAGCAATTCGAATCCATGGGTCTGCGTGAGCTCCCGTCGCTGGTCCCAGCTCCTGCCAACCTAGCAGTTCGAAAGGATGTAAAAATGCAAGTAGATAAATATGTACCACCACGGTGGGAAGGTAATGGCGTTCCGTGTCTAGTCACGCTGGCCACGTGACCATGGAAACTGTCTACGGACAAATGCTGGCTCTATGCCTTGGAAACGGGGATGAGCACCGCCCCCTAGAGTCGGACACAACTGGACAATTTGTCAAGGGGAACCTTTACTTTTAAACAAAGGTGCCGGACAATTTCTCAAGGGGAACCTTTACCTTTAAATAAAGGTGCTTTCCTAGCCGTTTTCCTGGCAAAATTGTGAATCACATCATCAAAATCAATTGTTTTTGCAAGATCAGACTCAATACTGAGTCCTGCCAAATCTACCAGTGGCCGCTGGGACATAGTCGATCTTAGATAATTTTTTATCAGCTTTAGTTTGCTGAATGAGCGCTCTGCAGAGGCTACAGTGGCAGGAATTGTTAACAGAATACGGAGGCAGACACACCTATTTGGAAAGAGTCCTTCCAGCCCATATCTTTTCAAGCAATTCAGTAGCTCCAATGGGCTCAGTTGGCCCTCTCCAAAATTTGCTTGATGAACAGATGGCAAATGACTTATCTCCATTACAAGATCTTCACTGATATCAGCGAGATATTGATCTGCCAGTAATTTTGAATTTTCTTTCAGTTCATCTTGAGGAATTGATAGGTACTTCCAGAGGAAGCTGAACTTCTCAGAAATGTTCACTGCAGCATTGAAACAAACAGTCAGTCCACCAATAACATTATCCAATATTACATAGAAGACTTTCTGAAATATGCTTCTTCAGGGGATTCATTGATTTTGAATTTTGCTTCATGCCAACTCCGAGTAAAATACATATATGTTGATTTGACAACTTTTATTGGAGAGCTGAAGGTGGCTTTCCTCCTCCACTCTTTAGCCTCATTCTGTCATTGTCATGGACAATTGTTGGCTCAGGATTATCCAGTGAGCTTTTGGGGTGAGTGGAGATTTGAACCCAGCTCTCTTGGGCTGTAGGCTTACTCCTAACTTTATACTGCATTGGCTATAGAAGTCTTTTGCAAATGGCAGACCTAGTGAATGGAAGGATGAAAAGTTCATATGAGCAGATATGATGTCCTACTGATCCAGTTCAAGGGCTTTATGGCAATCCAGTTTTCTAATGAAAATTATGGTTACATTGCATAAACAGCTCACAGGTTTCCAGTAATGTCAAAACCTGTTTATTGATTAAACATTTGAACAATAAACATGTATTGATTGACACAACTGGAAACTCATGAGCTGTTTATGCAGAGAGTTCATCAGGAAAGATTGAGATCTCTAATATGGTTACATTATTTAATGTGTAAAGCTCAGCATATATGTGTGTTGTTTTTGATTAAAGTCAGGAATCTCAGCATATGGTCTTAATGTTCCAATAGCAAAAATAGATGTGACATGGAAGATTTGTGAATAAGATCTCCCCTAGTTGCCCCTCCTTTAAAACTGTTAATACCAGTAATGTGGAAGAAGAGATTTCAAGGTAAATTAAACATTTCTCCCCATACCACATTTGGAATTTGAATTCATTTTTCACAGCCAAACCATATGAAGCTTCAATTTATTTAAAATGTGTTTAAGATTTATTTCAGAGAGGCAGGTGGGAGGATGCACAGCTTTAAATGATTAGTGTGAAAAGTACAATTTAAAACAGGGCAAAAGTACCTACACATGTTTCAGTGTGATAATATTGCAGAACAAATAAGCAGCATTCAAAGCAACTCATACATGATGGTAGAATGGTTTGGCAAAATTAATTTATATACCTGACGATGGAACCACCACTGTTCATGATACAATAACCTTTTTTCAGCAGGCTCTTCCATAAACAAGATGGTGTGACTAAATAGTCACTCTTTGCATCACCCATGTACATTCAAATGGGAATGATTCAAGGGGTACATGTGACATTCACAGTCTGTTAAAATTGTTACAGTCCTTGGGAGGGGGGTTGAGCTATAATGGAACATGTACTTAGTCACTGGACAAGGTCAAGATCATCCACACTCTTGTACTTCCTTCACTGGATGCAAAAGCTGAACAGTGAAGAATGCTGAGAGGGGGAAAATTGAGTTTTATGGAT